TCCGGCGAAATTGACGGCGGGCACCAACTCCAATGCGGTCGTGGCATCCGGGCGACCTCCAAGGACCCCTCAATTGCAAGATTTGATGAAGATTTGCAAAACCCCCAATTTTGGATCCAATTTCGAATTTTAGGGTTTTTTCGAGTAGAAAAATTCAGATTCGAGAAGTTACAGGCCAAATTAGACAAAATGGTTTGGATATTATTGATCCTCGTCTCAAGACGAAGAGAATGACATTGGTCCCGCCGGAATCGGAAAAAGTTTATTTTCCGGCGACTTTGACCGGCGGGCGGCGGCGGCGGGGCGTGGAAGAAAAGAAAAGAAGAAATGGGGTCAAATTGAAAATTTTAAAATATATAAAATTCGAATTTGACCCTAATGACCGGAAGTTAACCTAGAAACGGGCTAATGGCTCATTAGTGAAAGGATTGTGTAAGTTCAGGGATTTTTGTGAAAGGATTTGAAGTTCAGGTACCACTTCGAAATTTCTGCTAAAGTTCAGGTACCATTTGTGAAATTTACCCAGTTTTTAAATATATAAATTTTATTTTTTAATTTTACACCTACAATCAAATAAATTGAATTAAAAATAAAGTCGGTCAAACTTCGTAAACAGAATTGAGAAGAACATTATAGGACGAAGGGAGTACCATTTTTTAAAAGGGTGACCCGTGGCTGCTCCGGTGTCCCGTTCGTAAAATTGACGATTCCTACCCCCGGTAAACCTCCCCACCCCGTCCCGACCCGAACACACCTCCCACCCCCTCCAATTGCACCCCACAAGTTGATTTTGACTTTGGAGTCAAATTTTGACTCCAAAGTCAAAATCAACTTGTGAGGTGCAATTGGAGGGGGTGGGGGGTGTCCGGGTCGGGGCGAACTGAGGAGGTTTACCGGGGGGTTAGGAGGTAGGAATCGTCAATTTTACCAACGGAGCGGTCTCGGATCATCTTATGACATTGTCGGGCAATGTCATGGGAACCTTGTTTTTAAAAAATTGAGGGAGGACGAAGGGGCATGAATGTTGGCTACCGGGTTGGGCCTTTAGTGAATGGCAGATTGAGCCCGAATGATCCGAATCCAATCTCTCTTTTCTTCTGCCCTAAATCTAGTACAGCCAATCTTTCTTCCCTACTGCCAAAGACAATCACCGTCTTCCCTACTCCAACAAACCCTCACCGGCCGCGCTGCTACTATGGCCGCAGAAACTCCGGAAGCCATGACATCCTCCGACGCTGCCGCCGCCGCCGCCGCCGCCGCTGCCGCCGCCGCCGCTGTAGAGGGTAGGGTGAGCAGGGAAACCGTGGAGAAGGCCGTTACTGCCCTGCTCAAATGGAAGGAGTCACAATCGGAGCACCAAGCACCGCAGCTACTACCACAAGACGAGTTTGTCTACCTCAACATCACCCTCAAGCGAATCCCCTCGAAGGCGCGCACCAATCCTTTCCGTGTTCCCCTCCCGCACACCCTCTATGACCAATCATCCGAGCGTTGTGTCATCATCGACGACCGTCCTGGCTCGAATCTGACTTCAGAGAAGGCGAAGAAGATTATAAAGTCCCAGGGCGTGACAGTAAGCAAGGTCTTGAAACTCTCAAAGCTGAGAACAGATTATAAGGCGTTTGAGGCAAAAAGGAAACTCATGGGTTCCTATGATTTCTTCATGGTGGATAACAGGATTGTTCATTTCCTTCCTAAGCTTTTGGGAAAGCACTTTTTTAAGAAGAAGAGGTTGCCTTTGCCTGTCGACTTGACAAAGAAGGATTGGAAGGCTCAGATTGAGAGGGCATGTGCTTCCGGATTGTTTTTCAGGTCAACTGGGACTTCTAGTGTGATGAAGGTTGGGAGGCTGTCAATGGAGAGTGGAGAGATTGTTGACAATGTGATGGAGGCAATCAATGGTCTTGTTGACTATGTTCCCAAGAGATGGGACGGTTTGAGGAGCTTTCAGTTGAGACTAGTTGGTTCTGTGGCATTGCCTTTGTATCAAGCATTGCCTGATTTGAAGCTGAAAATCATTGGGGCTGATGAAGCTGAGACAGAGGTGGATGCCAAACAGTTGACTGACGGAACCCAGAGGGCAGGTAAGAAAAAGAGGAAAGATAGGCTTCATGCAGTAAGATATATGGATGCTGAAACGGGTGGAGTCGAATTAGAAAGTGATGATGAAGAGGTTGAGAATGAGAAGCAGAAAATGGATGTCAAGATGGGTAATGCGGAAGAAGACATTGACGAGGATGTCGAGGAAAATGAAAGTGGGAAGAGCAAGGGGCCTGATTCAGTTCCAGCTAAGCTTAAAGGTAAGAAAGGGTTGAAGGGAAAGAGCAAGAAATTGAAGAAGGGGGATGACTTAGATGTTAAGAATCATCCTGAGAGCAACAAAGATAGTGAGGAAGATGAGAGTGAGAAGAGCAAGGGGGGTGGTGATTTGGTTCTTGCTAAGCTTAAAGGTAAGAAAGGGAAGGGAAAATCTCCTGAAATTCAGGCTTTGAATGGTAAGGGAAAGAGCAAGAAGCTGAAAAGGGGGGATGACTTAGATGATAAGAAACAGAAGAAAACAAAGTTGTCTTCTAAGTCTGAATCTGCAGCGAAGAAGGGGAAACGAAAGGATTTGGCTGCTATGAAGTCAAAAGAGGAAGTGATCAAGCCGAAGAGGAAGAGAAACAAGAGTGAGTGAGGAGAATGTGGACTACATAGTTCACAGATTTTGTGGCAATGCAGACTCAAAACAGTTCTTTCTGTCATTGCTGTTTTGTTGCAATTTTGCCTCTCCTACTTTTATAGGTTCTTTCTTTTCATTATTATCATCAGTTATTGGGTTTCAATATCAATATTGTTCTACATGTGGAACTTGTGAGGTCTATCTTGATCTTCTATGTTTACTGTTGAAAAATGTCTAAAATTTCAGCTTTTTGGCTATCTGTTGCTAATCATATATGCTCATGAAACTGTTATTTTCTCTCGATTTCTTAGTATCAGCTCTGTTTCTTTCCGTGTCTATTTGTTTTTATTATACAATGCTTTGCTGGAAATTGGATGTCAATGCTTCTGCTAAATTCCCATAAAACTGAAGAGCAATTACACACTAGTGATAAAATTTCTGCTCAATGTTTCTGTTGACTTAGCGTGCCATCCAACTTTTTCACAAAAGAGTGAGTGTGCATCCCCAGTAACAATGAAATGATCAGCTTTGTTGTGTAGCTCTGCTGGAAAGTCTTCTAAGTTGATGGTGAATTCATTTGGGTCAGAAAAATTTTCATCACTCCCTTTAGTAATGTTGCAGTGTGAGCCCTCCAAGCCTGCAGAGCCAACACTGCATGTTCTTCAGATTACTCAACGTGTAGTAACTGTGTTTAGGGTTTATTGTTTTCTCTTCTAATCCATATCGAGTTGGAGCCTTTTTTTCTTACCATTTTTGTGACCATATCTTTGGCAGGTCGAACAAAACTCAGGCAAATCTTCAAAAAAAACCATCAATTTTCCGACTTTTTCTTAGTAAGCAACTGAGGAAATCATCATAGGAACTAAAATGAATGAGAATGTGTTTCTCATCAAGCAGCGAAGAAGACACAGTGAAGAAGTAGTGCGTCCTTTCCGTTCAAACACCTTTCGGATCGTAGCAAGGTTGGGTCTACCCGATCTAAAATGTCCAATATATTTTTATTTACTCCGTATTAGTCTTTTTAGTTTAATGTTCGATGTGGAATTTAAACCTTGAATACAATCACTTTTTTTCAAAATGCTAAACCAAGCTTTAAAAATAGCCACATTAAAAAAATCACCACTGTTGCAAAAAACAAAAAAAAACTTGAAGTAAATCTTACTCCTCTTCTTTGATAAATTGGTAAAAAATTAAAAAATTTGTGTTTAAATATTACATTAAAAAGTCTACAAAACAAGATGTAATAATAATATTTTATTTTATGAAATGATTAATGAAAATTTGCCAACAAATAAGAGTTATCGAGAGACCGTAATAATAAATAAGATCTTTTAGGACTCGACGGAGTATTTACCATACAATTATATTTAAGAGAACAATTGTGTGTGAACGGACGGGTGATAGCTCACATACAAAGGTTGTCTCTATGTTCTTTTTTAATGTCAAATATGGCGTGCACTTAAGTTTAATTCCTCAATTTTATTCCCTCGTTTTTTTTACTCGCAATTTTTTTTAAATTTTTTTAGAGAAGCTAAGGCTTAATGTGGTGCAACAAAGAAGAGTAGGTGATGATCTAATTATGGGAGTATTTAACCCAAAGAAGAAAAACACCACGTTTTTAATTAATCACAACCTCACAATTTGTCAGCAATCCCTCTATTTAAATCATTCATTGATGGGCGAGCTAAGCTAGAATAATACTCCGTAATCATCTTCTTCTTTTTCTTCTCTTCTTTCTTCATTGATTGGTACTTGGTACTGTACATCTCTTAATTAAAACACAAAGATGGCTGCAGCTACTTATGATGACAAGGTGGTTCTACTGTGTACAGCAGTGAGCATGTTTGCGATGAGGGTAAAAATGGCACTTTCCCTCAAAGATGTCCCCTACGAATCCAGACTGGAAGACATACATAACAAAAGCTCCCTGTTGCTGGAGATGAACCCGGTTCACAAGAAGATCCCGGTTCTCATCCACAACGGAAAGCCGGTCTGCGAGTCCCTCGCCATTCTCGAGTACGTGGACGAGGTCTGGAACCACAAGTCTCCATTGTTGCCCTCTCATCCTTACAAAAGAGCTCAAGCCAGGTTTTGGGCTGCTTTTATTGACCAAAAGGTATTTGCTTAAATCTGCTAGAATATATTTTCTTGGCCTGCAACCATTGAGCCTCTTGAGTTGGTTCTTTGACAATACCAATAAGTTGAATTTGAGTTTTGGTTGGGACTTAGGAGGATGATATTGGATCACAAGATTTTTTTTAGTGATAAATTTTTTTAAGTTTATGGAAGGCTTTTTAATTTATATTACTGTAAGATTATAAATGATTTTCATTTGAATATGGTATTAGTAGTTGGATTTTGCAAATCTTTAGTTCCATTGGTTGAATTGTGCAGATCTATGACAGTGTGAGGTCATGGTTGTATAAAACAAAAGACTATAAATCCATCAAAGAGGAACTGGTGGGAAACCTGCAGCTGCTGGAAGGGGAGCTTGGGGAAGGGCTATATTTTGGTGAGGGGATCATTGGGTTTCTGGATTTGGTTCTGGTTTCATATTTCACCTGGGTTTTGGCATTTGAGAATGACGTGAAGCTGGGGGTAGAGAGAGAGTGCCCAAAGCTGTTTGAATGGGGCAAAAGGTGCCTCCAAAATGAGGCCATCTCAACCAGCCTTGCAGACCCTTTGAGGATCTCTGAGTTTGTTTTGAGGATGAGGGAAGCAAGGGGCATTTGATTAATTACTGCAGGCTTTCCAGAATATAATCAACACTACTGGTCCTGAATTGATCAATAATAAGTAGTAATAAGCTGGGATGGAATTTCCAATCCACAATCTTGTCTTTTGTTATGGGTACTTGTGAAACACCTTGAAATCTGTCGTAGTGTTATTGTCTCTTTGATATAATTCAGTGGCTAATTATATCATTCGTACTAGCACTCCTAGTACAATTATATTCTATCCCAAGAGTATTTATCTACTAATTTTATTATTTAAAGATGAATTTAATTTAAGTTTTTATAAATTTTCATTACTATATAATGGTAGCTAAAATTTATATCCGTGACACATTTTTTTAATAAATTGTGACCATAAATCAAATGTTAATTTTATTGAGATGATAATAATAATAATAATATATAAAAATAAAACTAAATAAATTTTTTAAGTTATTCTTGGAAGAAATTGAAAGGACTTGGAAAAAACTAGAAGTTTGAAGAAACTTGAAGGAGTGGTAAGAAACTTGAATGAGTAGGAGAAAACTGAAAAAGTAGGAAGAAACTGTAAAGAATTGGAAAACTGGAAGGATGTGAAAAATATTGAAAGTTAAAAGTTAACGCTCAAAAAAACAGGGCCTATGTTGGAAAAAATAGAAAAGAGTTGGAAAAAATTGAAAAGAGCTGAAAAAAACTAGGAGTTAGAAAAATGAAAGGAGTTGAAAGAAACTGGAAAAAGTTGAAAAATATTACGCTCAAAAATATAGATTCCAAGTTGGAAAAAACATAAAAGAGCTGGAAAAAAGTTGGAAAGAGTTTGAAAAAACTATGAGTTTGAAAAAGCTTAAAGCAATTGAAAGAACTCGAAAGAGCTAGAAGAAATTCAAAGGAGTTGGAAAAAATAAAAAATGTTAAAATATTTATTATATTTAATGAATATCATATTCTATTTAAATAAATTACTCTTCATTTTCAATTGTTTTAATATCTTTTTATTGGGAGAAGTATCGTCATAGCACTAATATATGCTTAAAATACCCAATATAGCGCTGCTATGGGATATTGGAACTCATTTGGATGCAATTCCAAATTTCTCCTTACATTCCACACTGCCAAAGTTGGTATACACTTCTAGAACATGGACATAACACACTGCCATGATACCCAATATAACATGTATCCACACTGCCGCCAAAGCATGATCATTCCATACTACCAGAAAATGCATTTAAGTTGGTATACACTTCTAGATCAAGAACATGGGCATAATATACTGTCAGAAAGTGTAGTTAAGCATTGTGAACCATAACACACTTCCCAAAACATGGGCATAACACACTGTCAGAAAGTGTAGGCATAACTTGACCATTACACACTGCCAAAAAAGTTAGTATACACTTCTAACTTCGTTTATTAAATGTATTTAAGCAGTGAGGAGTGGCATAACGGTTCTAAAGGCTACGTACAAGGAATGAGAATCACTTTCTAAAATTATGGATCTCAACAAATATGGTAATTGAAATAATTAAAATACTTCATTATAATAAAAGGGTATGATTGGAAGAGATTCACGCCATAAATAGCCAAATGTGTGAAAAACAATAAGGAGTGCTATATGTGTAATATTGGGTGTCTTAGAGCATCGGCAATGGGCGTGGAAAACTCTTGCCAACTCAGCAGCTCCCCCAATCTGCCTCGCGTGGCTGGGCATTCTTCCACGGTTTTGAGGGGCATGAGCGAGGCACTCCATGTCTCCATGCTTCTCTTCATCTTTTTTTTAAATTTTTTCTTTTTAAGAAAAAAACATTTTTTTTTGTAAAAAAGAAGAAGTATTTTTAATTTTTTTGATGAAAAAAATATTTTTTTAATAATTTAAACACATCAAAAAATGTAAAAATAGTAAAAATAATGACTTGCCATTGCAGAGTTTCCCACTCCATTTTAGTACCACTTGCTGACTACACTATTTTTGATTTGTAGAGATGTAAAACGTCAGCGTGTGACATTCCATTTTTGCGTCACCATTGTTCATGCTTTTAAAGTGCTACATAAGTGATTTCTACTTTTTATTTTCTTCTATGTCATAATGTTTTTGTCACAAATCATATTCGTAATATTTGTGTGTGATGGTGTAAATTACTTGACCGGTCAAACTATACTAGACCGGGTCTAGAATAGTTTGCTTGATTTGGCAAAGTAAGACAGATAAAAACACGCAGATTGACCGGTAGGACTTTAGGTGGAACACCTGTAGCCCAATCTATATTATAACGGAGAATGCACGGGTGCTTTTACAAGGGAGTTTAGAGAGAATGTATTTGGATCCCTCTTTCTGAGGTTTACATGAGTATTTATACTAGGCTAAGGGGACAGGACCACGTGCGCCCACGTGGGGGCACGATGCTGATGTGGTGCGAGGTGACTCGTTTCGTCCTTGAGCTGCCTTGTCGCCTTGTGAGGGAGATTATTCCCTTTGTCGAGTAGTGCCTTGGATGGATTCTTCAGCATCTCCAGTTGTCCTCTACTGACATGGGTCGCTACACGCCAAGCCCTCGTAGATTCTCTTCTGCCGACACTTTCCAACCCTATAAACTACACCGGGTAATCTCCGAGGGATGAATTCATCGAAGTCTGGGAACAAATAACATGACAACGTAGTTTGACCGGTATACTTTTTCGTGAAGTATACCGGTCATCTTTTGGCCGATTATATATCGTTTTGCTGACGATTTAAGTCTCCCTTCAAAACTTTCGAGATTGACCGGTCAACT